ATTAGCAGATAAAAGATTTTTTGTTGTCTTTGTATGGTGAATTCTTTCCTTTTTCTAGCCGAAATTTACAACTTTCCGAAGTTTTACAGAATTTTAAACCGACTGTTAAATGTTGAAGGCGGAACTGCAAATTTTTAAGTATCAGAAATTTGAAGCTCACTGGTTAAAAAATATTTTTTTAATCGCAATGTTAAATTTTCTAATCCAATTTTTTGGATCTCTTTTTTTTTTTCGAAAATTCAGAGAAAGCTTTTAATAATACTTTTGTTTTCGCTTCAACAGTGCAAGCAACAATTAATTTGAAATTTATCATGTAAAATTTTAAGCAATGAAAAGTATTTTGGCAGGTAATCTTTCTATCGGCTATCTTCAACCTTTCCGCTTCCTTTTGACTTTCACGTCCACGTTTAAATGTCATCTCGAAAATTTCCAACTATAAACAACTTTAAGTCTTCAACTATATAACTCATAGTACTTTAAGTCTTCAACATATAACTTATAGTCTTCAACTATAAACAACTTTAAAAATGCTCCACCCATCCCATTCATGTGATCCGCCAATTTGCATAGTGTGGAGCAGTGGTTTCCAATCGATGGTCCGCGAAAACTAAAGTGTGGTCGCAAAGGAGGCGGCATAATGAGTAGGTGGGGACCGTTTTCTTTTTTCTTTAAGTTATACTTTGTTTGTCAGCAATGCAGGTTTGTTCTCATAGTATTATTCTATAAATACTGAAATTCCTTTATAATCACTCTATTGTTTATTTATATCTTTCTTATCATCTTTTAATTTTACTTGAAAGATTTCATCATCTTCTGTGGTCGATCCTCTTTCCTTTTTGTATTACTTATTCTTTAATATTGTAATAATTTTAATTTTGGAAGTCTTCCAGTCGCTTTTTTATCGTTTTATTACCAGAATACCTGAGAAAAATACAACAAAAGTTACACTGAATTCAGACTTGTCTTCACTGAAAGTAATGGGGAAATGAAACTGCTCAACGTTATATATGCCACGTTCTCGGAAACGATGCTTTGTAGTCATCAAAATTAAGGAAAATTAGAGAATTTGGAAAAGATAAAACTTGGTTTTAGTGGCATCAAGATCTGCGTCATCAGAAAAAACATTAATCGCGTCTGTAGCGAAATCAAAAAAAAACCACATAAAATAGGCGAACACTTGTGAAACCTTATTTGATGAAAGCTATCGAAGGGAAGCTAAACACAAAATATAAGAAATTCCTTTATTGAATACCACGTAGAAATTCGAATTTAGATGATATTAAATGACACTGAGCTTCTTTCGAAAATTAGAAATTTGTCATATTTCGCTTTATAGTATGATGGATCGGCAAACGTTTCTGTTGTAGTCACTTGCTTGTATCCTTCTTTAAGATGCCTCTACATTATTGAAGGAGAATTAATGATCTCGCGGGAACTGGAAACGACGTCAAAAGGTATCGTTGTCATGTATATAATGGCGGAATATCTTGGGAAATGTAACATTACACGGGAAATGCTCTTCGCTTTTTACAGGGATGGCGCTCCAGCTGTATTAGGATTACGCTTTGGACCAGCAAAATGAATAAAACAGAAAATCCTTCTGCATTAGCAACTCATTGTATCATTCATATCAAACGTTAGCTTCTAAGACTATATCTAATTGCTTTCCTAGTATAATGGAAGTGGCCATGAAAGTGGTCAGTATTATCAAAATTAGTGGCTTCACGTACCTTTTTAAAAAACTGTGCACTGAAATGGCTCGAAGTCCATTCTTCTTAACATTAAAGTTCATTGGCTGTCCAAAGCAATATGTTGGGAAGGTTATATGAACTAAGAGAAGAGCTTGAGCTATTTCTACCCGAGAAGGTTAGAGCAGTTTTCTGATGTAAGAAGTCAGGTACAGTTGGCTTGCAGATGTTTTCGCACATCTAAGTAAGTTAAGCTTTCAGTTGGAGGATTCTGGAAATAGAAATTTAGAAGGTGTGGGAAACATTTTTATCTTTGATGATAAACTTTGTATCTTCATTGCAAATTTCAATTATGGATAAATAAGGTTGTTGAGACCAATTATTCTGCATTTGCGAATTAAAAGCAATGGTCGATGATAAAAAATATGACATGGTTACCGCCAATCTACAAGGGAACATCAGAAGTCATCTGCAATTACTGGTTGATGAATTTCATCGTTACTCTCCGAAATGTAACAAAACCCAATCGAAAAGTGTCCAAAAGCGGATTTGCAATCCTCTTGGTATTACTGTTGAACAAGTTGCAGAGGAGGCCCAAACTCATTGAAGTCCAAAATGATAGAAACTGTAAGGGCATCGTGCACTTCATTTTCTCTTGATGAGTTCTGGTTTGGGAAAACGTTCCATGCACAACAATTCGCGAATTTCCTTACACTTTCTCATGCTCTTGTTCATAATTTATTAATTCGAACAAGGACTTTCTGCTATTTATAATTAAAAACAAGGCTAGGATTTGGTAGAAAGCAAGTGCTGATATGTGCGTAGCTTTGAGCATTAGTGCTAGCTCCAAAATTATCCAACTTGTAAAGAAATTGGAAGTCTCTCACATTGATGGAAACCAAATTGAGTTTTTTATTAGAAATGTCCTTACTTTTTTATTTTATAGTGTTATTGTAAATTTAACCAATATGTTAAAAGTTTTGATTGAAGTTTACTTCCAAATTAACGGAATTTATCATTTTTGAACCTTTTGGTCTTGCTATAAATAAAAAGCCAAAGTGGTTCCTGTTTTCAAAAAAGTTGGGAACCGGTAGTCTAGAAAGACATTGTTAGGTGATATTGTTTTCGAACATTTGGGCTGCAATTTCAATTTGTGGCCAAGGACTCCCATATATTTTCTCCATTCTGCATTGTTTGGTCTATTGTCCCTCTCTCTCTCTCTCCTCTCTCTCTCTCTCTCTCTCTCTCTCTCTCTCTCTCTCTCTCTCT